GGACGAGCCAGCTTAAAGCCCGGCTGAGGCGCAGCAGGCCCACACTCGTGGAGGCATGGAGGAGTGCGCTTGCCTCTGCCTCGTGGGCTCTTCGCAGGGATGTCAGTGTAGTAGTCAGAAGCGCCAGCGCCCAGCTGAGACGGCAGCGGCCGATGGCAAGCAGTGTCATCAGAAGCGCCAGCGTCCAGCTGAGACAGCAAGCAAGCCGGCCCCGGCCCCAGCTCCAGCTCTGCCAGAAAAGCACCTCGAGGCGGACGCGGCAGCACGGTGCTGTGCAGGGAGTGGAGGAATCGCGAGCCCCATGCCGACCCTGCACTGCTCCCTGCAGGACCTGCCAGTGGAGATGCTGGTGGAGATCTTCGCCTCGCTCCCTGGCACCGATCTGCCCAGCCTGGCCCTGGCCTGCACCAAATTCCACCACATCCTGCACACCGACAGCATCTGGAGACGGCGCTGCCGGGAGGAGTTTGGCGCTTGTGAAAACTTGCAGAACCTGGAGATGATGGGTGTGTCTTATCGAGAAGTCTATGCGAAGCTGCTCCATCCATACAGACACATTTTGGGATTGTGGCAGCTAGATACTGAGGGCTATAGAACACTGCTGAATGTCGTGGTGGATGGCTTATGCATTACTGGTTGGACATTCAGGCCTTGCCTTAACGCCCATGTGGATCGCCCAATGCAATTCAAGCCCGCGTTCAGAATTCGCCTGACGGAGAGGAAATCAGCCACGGTGGAGTGCATGGAAGGCCGCATTAGCAGGCCCCACAGCCGCCACGTGCATATTCAGAAGAACAGGCTCACCCTCCAGTGCAACAAAACAGACCACCTTAAGGATTTACCAATGCGGCTTAGGGACGAATGGGGGCGGGTGCTGGTGCAGGAGGACAGACAGCGGTATGACTGCCTGACCTACCGCCGCCTCTACCTCCCGCCAAGCCACCCGGACGACCTCATCAGGCCAGGTCTTTTCCAATACAACTACGATGCCTTCGGCCTATCGATTGCCATGCTCAGCTTCCATGGGAAGTATGCCAGGGTCACGAAGGTCACGGGAGACTTCAAACCGAGGTTGGAGATCCACCTCATGCACCGCATCCAGCTGCGAGATGGCGAGATCTTCCGCAGCTTCAACGAGCTCTCCCGCGTGGTCCAGGAGATTGACGAGCAGGTGATCCGGGAGCAGCAGCAGCAGCAGCAGCAGCAGCAGCAGCAGCAGCAGCAGCAGCAGCAGCAGCAGCAGCAGCAGCAGCAGCAGCAGCAGCAGCAGCAGCAGCAGCAGCAGCAGCAGCAGCAGCAGCAGCAGCAGCAGCAGCAGCAGCAGCAGCAGCAGCAGCAGCAGCAGCAGCAGCAGCAGCAGCAGCAGCAGCAGCAGCAGCAGCAGCAGCAGCAGCAGCAGCAGCAGCAGCAGCAGCAGCAGCAGCAGCAGCAGCAGCAGCAGCAGCAGCAGCAGCAGCAGCAGCAGCAGCAGCAGCAGCAGCAGCAGCAGCAGCAGCAGCAGCAGCAGCAGCAGCAGCAGCAGCAGCAGCAGCAGCAGCAGCAGCAGCAGCAGCAGCAGCAGCAGCAGCAGCAGCAGCAGCAGCAGCAGCAGCAGCAGCAGCAGCAGCAGCAGCAGCAGCAGCAGCAGCAGCAGCAGCAGCAGCAGCAGCAGCAGCAGCAGCAGCAGCAGCAGCAGCAGCAGCAGCAGCAGCAGCAGCAGCAGCAGCAGCAGCAGCAGCAGCAGCAGCAGCAGCAGCAGCAGCAGCAGCAGCAGCAGCAGCAGCAGCAGCAGCAGCAGCAGCAGCAGCAGCAGCAGCAGCAGCAGCAGCAGCAGCAGCAGCAGCAGCAGCAGCAGCAGCAGCAGCAGCAGCAGCAGCAGCAGCAGCAGCAGCAGCAGCAGCAGCAGCAGCAGCAGCAGCAGCAGCAGCAGCAGCAGCAGCAGCAGCAGCAGCAGCAGCAGCAGCAGCAGCAGCAGCAGCAGCAGCAGCAGCAGCAGCAGCAGCAGCAGCAGCAGCAGCAGCAGCAGCAGCAGCAGCAGCAGCAGCAGCAGCAGCAGCAGCAGCAGCAGCAGCAGCAGCAGCAGCAGCAGCAGCAAGAAGATGGGACTGAGGAAAGCGAGGGCCATGGCTGGCAGAGCCCTGCCCAGCCCAGCGTCGGGGAGTCCGGGGCTGCAGCTTCGGAGGAGCAGCCTGTTCCATTTGTTCTGCCTGTGGACGTGCACTCATTTGACCAGGACTACCCTCGAACCTGCAGGATGTGTTTCTATGGCGTGGAAACTTTTACCTTACCTGGCTTCGCCGACCCCATGCGCCTCCCTGTAGTCTTCATCCTGTTCGATGAGAACCACTTCGGGTTCATCTGGCTGGAGGCGAAATACTTCTTCCTGTTCGGCAGAGTCCAGAACACTTTTCAGAATGTGGAGGCACCGTCTGGGCAGGCCTTCCTGGAGATGCTCTCGAACATTCAGTCCAGACCCCTGTGAGGAACAGCTTGCATGCACTTTGAAGATTTGACCTTCTGACCAGGTTACCCACCTTTGTTTGTTTTTTTAATCCTCACCTGAGGACATTTTCCCATTGATGTTTAGAGAGAGTGGGGGAGAAAGGGGAAGACAAAAATAATCCATGTGAGAGAAACACATCAGTTGTTTGCCTCCTGCCCAAGCCCGGACCAGGGCCAGGCTGGGTAGGAGCCAGCAATTGAGGTAGAAATAAACCTTAGACCAGTGGTCTCAACCTTCCTAATGCTGTGACCCATTAATACAGTTCCTCATGTTGTGGTGACCCCTAATTTTCTTGTTACCCAACCCCCTGGGAGGAGCAGCTTGCATGCACTTTGAAGATTTGACCTTCTGACCAGTTTACCCACCTTTGTTTGTTTGTTTTTAATCCTTGGGTGAGGATTTTTTAAAAAGCAACCAATGAATGCAGAAATAACTGGAACATCAAATCGATATTTCCCTTCCTCTACCTCTATAATAAATCAAAAAATTAAAAAACTTTTAAAAAATGTCAAATATGCATACCCATCTGGAAATCATAAAGTAATTTATGATAATATAGAAAGGATGTGTACAATCAGGGTAATATTTTAAAACTAGAAATAAATAGGAGTTTGGATAAGTTTCTCTTTATCTATAGTATGTAAGAGACCTGAAATGATAGGAAAGAATCATGCATATTATTTAGTGAAAACGTGGACCATAATAACCAGTTCATTTAAGTCTGTACACATATATGTTCAAATACATGCTTAATAGATAATGTGTGAAAGATTACTCACCATAATGTATACAGTGGTTTTCTCTGGCAAGCAAAATTCATAGAACTGTATACTAAGAAGAGTAAATATTATCATGTAAATTACACTGCAATAAACTGGCTTAAAATTTAAAAAAAAAAAAAACTCACCGTTGCCATTTCCTTTGCTCTTGACCAGGCACTGGGGATAATTTTCATCTGAGGCCCGTTGGTCTTCTCTCTTGAGCCTCTGGCTCTGAGGACATGGCATCTTCCAGCCACTAAAGAAATCACAAAAGAGAGACTGTAGGTACCTTCTGGCATTAAGGAGCCAGCATCTCCAGTCTGTGCACCTCATGTCAAACATGGGAAGTCGGAGAAGAAAAATCACAGCTGGGAATTTCTGCTTAAGGTTCATTTTTCAAGAGCAAAACTAATGTACCATGTAATGGGAGGACTGGGGGAGTGGGTGGGAAAGCTTCGGGCAAAGTATACATACACTTCCTCAGGAGACAGCATTTCTTTCAGCATGCTCCAAAGAAGAGAAAAAAAGAAAGGCGTTTGTAGGTAACTTAGGGTCTGAAAAATCTGGGATTTGGCCTGGATAAAGGCTAACACCTAAGTTATAAAGATCAATTAGTACATTCATCAATAAGAGTGTTGTTAAGCTCAGGTTCAAGTAATCCTTACGTTTCCCCACCCTGTGTAAGAACCCTCAAGGAATCTGAAAAACGTATAGCATCCCCATGCTTGACCTAGGAGCTTTAGTTCCATTTTTGTTAGGAAAGCAAGACATATTATTATAAAACTAGAGGCCCGGTACACAAAAATTTGTGCACTCGGGGGGGGGGGGGGGACCCC